GTTAACTAGGTAAAACGTCCAACACATCACAATCGGTAGAGTTTTAATTAAATCCGATGATATAAACAATATGTTAACTATCCGATATTTTCATGTTCATTTTCAGGAATTATATTTTTCAGCTAAAGATTAGTCGAATAAAAATGAGAAACTCCGATTCATATTTATATAGAAAAGCAATAATATAATTTACTAAAAGATTATATTAAAAACATTCAAAATATTATAATTTTATTTATCCAATCGCGTCGTATTTCTTTTATTTCTATTGCTATTAATGTACGAATTTACGTAAGTGTCGTTTCCATTGTCTCTATTATTTGAAACTAAGCATCATTATTGTGTTTGCACTTTGCTCAACGTTACACGATGGCTTAATGTTACAAAGGAACGAAAATTTGTGTAAAATTAGAATTAGCTATTACATCAAATCACCTTTCATTATCTATTAATGGTGCAAACGATTCTAATAATAATAAAATACATAACAATGTTCTTTAAATTATTGTATTTATAAAAAAAAACATATAACACAGTTTTTGAAACTATGTCGATGTCCCAATCTTTTTCATTATTCTATATAATAAAACGTTTGAAAGGTCAAGGACAAAATTTATATTTCGTGTTTATGAGATCAAGTAGATCAAGTAAACTCATATAAATTTATGCACAAAAATATTTTATTAAAGAGTAATAAGCGATCAAAAACTTTCAGGAAAGCTACAAAAAGTAATAAAAATATGCATGCAACACGACGAGATTCGCATCAATTTTTCAACAGGGGAAAATTACAGGCGACAAATCAATAAGTCCTTATAAGATGCCATGAAAATAGGATAAAAAAGAAAACCACCTTTGAAATTGTATTCAAAATGCATATACTATACTTCTATTATATATAAACTTGATTCTAACTTTTTTAGACATCCTATTTAGAAATCTCGTTACATTGCAAAAAAAAAAAACGACCATTACAAAATCTTCCTCAAAACATTTAATATCTAAATATAATCAGAGCTTTAATTACAGAAAATATATAACGTTTCCGTCATGAAAACGTTGATTTACGTGAAGAATGAAAATTGATTTAGTTCAATTTATTGGATTACACATTTCATGTAGGTTACGTCTCCTATCAATATCGAATAAAAATGAACAATAATTTTTTTATTTTTTGATACTCTATTTCCTTTTTCTCGTCATTCAATATTTTCAGGTTATGACATACATGTCATGCGAAGATGATACACGTAAAAATATGTACATGTAAATGTTACCGTCAAAGCGGGAAATCAGGCAATACTAGTAAATCCTCGTCATTACTATGAATATAAAGAGCCTTCAGACGAAGTCGGAAATTGAAAAATTCTATTGAACATAATACTTTGATATTCTATAAAAAATAAAATTACTATTTAAACAACGTTGAAAAGAATACATCCTCGAGCACAAGCCCTATATGCCTCACCCCTCCCAACCACACCGCTAATCGCTCACAAACACAAACACAAAAACGAACATGGTGGGGGTTGTTGAGACTGGCGTGTCCCTATAACGAAAAATCTGTATTTTTTGTCCTATATCGTATCGGAAGATAAACGGGTTTAGAACAAAATGTTTTATACCTGCATTTTATTATATTTACAATCAATCTAACAGCATTTAGCCCAGTCAATAAAGGGCAAATGAGGCCCGAAAAGCTGCCAGCGTGCAAAGTTGATATTTATGGAAATTCGACGACGCTTTCTTTGCAATTGGATGGCGCAACTCCGAGAAAAAGGGTAAAATAAGGGTAAAAAAGGGTAAAAAAACGGCCGTATCTTAAAATCTAGGCATTAAATCGAAAAAAGTTTTAAACAAAAGTTGTGCAGAATTGAAAAATACATAAAAAATGTTGTAAGGTGTATCTTCGTATTTGCAAAAATAAGCGAGAAAATGAAGGTGAAAGGTAATTGTAAGAGAGAGGGCAAGCCACGCCTTTTCGTTGGTCTTTACACGCGAGCGAGCTAGTGTGCGTTATCTTGGGGTCTCTCGGTCGCGTGAATGCGAGTGCGAGTAAGAAAAGAAATGGATATTATTTGCTTAATCGATAGCGAGTATTTTTGTTTGGGCCATCGAGTGTCGAGCGTTATGTACAGTCAAACCTCCTTTAACGCGGTAAGTGCGTTCCGCGTTATATGGAAACCGTGTTATAAGAAACTCGGATTTAACCGTACAAACCAAGCTAATTCGTAGCGCGTTGTATGGAAACCAGCTACTGCGTTGTATGGAAACAGCGCTATAAGAAACACAGATTTTAGTACAAATCACATCATTCGTACCGCGTTATATGGAGACCAAAAAATACA